TTCCGCGTACGCAGCATGCGGGCATCAGGCCATGACGCACGTGGTCGAGCTGCCCGACACGTGACTTGCGACTCCATCCCGTCGACACGCAGCGCCCGGATCATGCATAGCGATGTAGTCACAAAGACGTGAGGTGGCTCAGCGCCAACGCTCCCAAATCTTGGTATGACTGTACCGGTACAGCGTGTGCTCGATCGACCTCGCTACGCTCACTCCCCACTTGGTCTCGGATACTCTACACAGTTCGTCACCCGCTTCCAGTCGTCTGCGACTCATTCATCCTCACATTCATCATACTCTCTCCTCTTCCGTGTCGACCATTGCCTCGACTTTCATCGATACGGCCAATACATCGCTGTGAACACACGCAGCATCGCAAGATGTCGATGACTGCTCGGGTATCACGAATTGGGCGAAGCAGGGCTAGCGGGCTGGCTCAGCTGTCTCAAAGGAGATTGGCCAGTGGAGGTGGTGCTTACAACGAGCCTAGCGGTGAGTACGCAGCAAGTCACCAGGGCGCAAGGTGCCTGGACCGGGGTCACATGGGATAAAGGAAGTGGGCAGAAGCCAGCCATTGCGCTAGAAAATTGCCGAGCGGGTCTTTCGCCTATGTGCTATGCACAATTTAACATCGCACATCTCTATCAGGCAAAGGTTAGAGAAGGATCTTAGGCTTTGCCCTGGAGTGTACGCGCCCCCGCTAGAGCTAGTGGGAAGCGTTGGCTCAGAGCACGAATACTTCCAAAGCTGAAGCGTGATAGCCCAAAGAGCCATTCTCTTCTGATGGTCAAACCGCGGTGTCATGTGCGGGTTTGGATGGCTCAAGCTGCGGAGTTGCGATCGCAAGCCCGATGCTGATTCCCGTGCTTGACGCCCTCCTCCCCTCCCCATTTCCACTGCTCGACTCACCCGATGTGCAGGTCACTTTCTTGGACAAAAGGTAAGCTGTAGCCATCCAAATGGCGTAGATCAGCGCTAACTTTCAAATATTGCTGTCGGCAGCCATTGCGTAAAGGCGAGAAGCGAGAGAAGGAGGGATGGGAGGGGATTTACACCTACGGATTGTTCGGAGGTATGGCTTTCTGCGCCATCGGCTTGTTGTACAAGCCGGACACCAAGTGAGTTCATGGATGCGTCACGTTGTGCAGGAAGACATGTGATGCTTAATGAGCTTCCCTGCGTGCTTCATCTCTCCTGCTGTCTTTGCAGCATCCAATCTTGGGCAAGAGCAGAAGCACAAAAGCAGCTCGAATCCGAAGGTGGTGTGTACAAGTATGAGCCTAGTCCTTACGCTGGTCATCCAGACAACAAGTAGTCGGGAAATGTAAAGCGCAGTTGGTCTGCGCATATCCCCGTCCCACAGCAATTCTAACATCATTGAGGCAGATCGTGTGTACGTCAGGGGCAAGCAAATGTGATGCTTGCCGTGTACATAGCTTCATTGAGACGGTCGTCGTGCGATGTTGTTCGACATTCTCTTCAGCGATGGTCACAAAGTCTAGCGGCCGTCAAGACATTGGAATGCAGCGCTGTGTGTGGGCCATCGTCGTCACGGTGTGGCTTTCTTGACACCTTGGAGGTATGGAGTGTGCTTGGAAAATCCCGACCGCCCTGGGCATTCGCGGAGTGAGACTGACGATCCCGCCGCGATGCAAGTGATCAATATCAACTTGACGGGGTGTAACGTAACTCGACAAACTTCGAGTCAAGCCCCAAATTTGTCAGGGTTAGGTACGGCAACAAAGTAGAGCCAGGTCAGCATGGCAACAAAGTAGAGCTAGATCCTCGGTAGAGCAAAAAGTTGGAAATCACGCCCGAAGGATGAAGTTACCAGTGCGGTGAAAGAGACGTGCAGCACGCTTGTGCGTACTTAATCCAGTGGCGCTTCTAGGAAAAGGCGAGAGGCGCGTTGACATAGATTAAGCACAGCGTGCGTGAATTGTGCCGTACAGTTCTGTGCACCAACAACGCGTTCTTTGGTGAGAAAGCTAATCGAGTGACGCGTATGTTGCAAGAATGTGCGCGCGCTTTCGAAGCGCACAAACTTGATGAGTCTTGCGTGCGCAGGGAGGTTTGATTCGTGATTCTGATTGTCGGGCGCAATTCACTGTGCCTGTCGTTCAGCCTTGCGCTGCATCTTTCATGGATCATTCCTTCACAACACGTCCGCATCTCTCACCGATCTCAAGTGAATGCGCAACGGTTGCGGACTGACCGACTTGCAGATCTTGTGATTGGAACCTTGTGGTGGCGAATGGCGGTGCCGCGAAGAAAGAGAACGCCCTCCATCACATCCGATTGGCATCGACGAGGCGATTAGTGGTGGCGACTCTGCTCATGCATTTTTTATTCT